TGCATTAATGTAAGAAGTAGGGTAGGGCAGGTATTTTAGTTTCTCTTCTCTCAGTATGCTATGAGCAATGCGACGAAATAATGCAGAGCTCTAAGAAAATAAGAAACGGACTGGAAGAATGTGACTAATCAGGATTCGCAAAAGCTTAGCAGAAAAGAATTTCTCAGCTGTAACTGGGAAGTCCATGGGAAATGTACTGAAATATTGAGTGTGACTACAATGAACGAAAGAAAAAGCAAGTAAAATCATCATTATCATTGTTGTTTCCTGTGAAGAAAGAAACTGTTACAATTGAGACCTTCTTTGGCTTCACCTTTGTCGAATGGAACATAGTAAAGTTGGCGAAACCTGTTGGTCTGTCATATGTTCATGAGAGTACAGGAAGTTCCTATCGATATCGAGAAAACTTTTCCTTTTTTGCGACGAAGATGAAGTTCCTGTTCAATACTAGAGAAACATTTGCTAAAATGTTTTTTCTAAAATGCAACAACTAAGGATTTATGCTAGAGTTCCACTACAAGGGCTAAATATATGAATGCTGAATAAGAAATCCGTAAGGATTCTGTAGGAATCTTTCAGTGCAGCTCCCTGCGACTTGTTTCCAAAGTTTTCTCTGCGTATGATACTATGCGAACGGAAGACAAAACAACTATCGCCCAACATATTATCATATAGGTTTTTAGGTACAGATCCCTTGCAAAATGATTGTCGACAACAAAATGCCTCGAAGGCTCCCCATGAGTTGTCCTCAAAGATTTTAGACATGCTCAAAATCAACGAAGACCGTGGGTGAAAAGCTGCTAAAATGAAAGCAACTGCAATTAGACTTTTGGGTACGATACAGATGCTTACAGCTAGAGATAATACCAATGCCGCTTCGAGCCTTGTGGGATTTCGCCGAGAAGATCGTAGTATTGCCGATGTGTGAAATGCTAGCTACTAAAGAGATTCAGATGCGGATCTAGATTTTTAGCGATAATGCTAAGGGAATGCCGCCTGAAAATGTTAGGATACCTATGGTTGATTTATGCAAAAATCGACGTGGAAAATCCTTTTTGCATTTTTTGCTCAACTAAAAATGCATCAAACATACTGTCTTTCTTACCAGACACATATTTGTTGCTCAAGGGGGAAACGAGTGACACTGGTTGTAGAAGCATAATTGGGGGTTGAACTTCTTTCAGTTGAATCATATGAAGATCTGGTGCCGGTTGTAGAGAAGCAACCACTTCAAATTGTCTAGCAGCAGGAAGCAGAATTTCCTGCTCGAAGTGAAAATACGAATGGCGACTAATGTCTTTTCCGCTGTCACATTCGATGGTGAACAACGTTCTTGTACCGGTTTGACCTAAAAAATCTTCATTCTGGAGTACATCGACCGATGAAGTACAAGAGGAGAAAGCCCACCAAACGACCAATTTTCCTTTTTTATAGTGCTTGTTTAAGTCCATTTTGACCCCTCGATAGACGAATCGATGAGCTGACGGAAGACGAGTGAGTCCGCTTAGGAAAAGTTTTAAGTAGGGAAACCATGGTTCCAGTTTACGCCTATCTTCTGATCGAAGAACGGTGTTGAGGACAAAGTAGAGGCATTTTTGTCGAGGCGTCCATTCCATAGAGTAGAGCATGATGGCTGCCGACTCGTCCTGATTAAGACCATCGGCCGGCTCTTCATCGCATCGTTGTTTGGCAACATAGACGTAGTCTTTAATGTCTGGTAATGTTGCTACCAGTGGTTGGACGGCTTCTTCGAGTGTAACAAATGGCACGTCGTCGTATCCGCGGATTGGCAGTAGCATTGTGAGTGGCTCCTGGCCGACATCTGAAACTCGACTATGATGTGCGCATGCTTCACCGCCAGTGGCCATGTGGAATAATGCAAAGGTGATGTTCAAGGAAAGGAAAAACAATTCTAAAATGACAATTGGAAAATAGCTATTTATGATGACTCTATTCAAGCTGAGGAAGAAAAGTATGATGCTCTGTAGACCAGTCAGTAGGGACAGCTCATTGATTTCACGAAAAGAAAGTCTACTGTGTACTTGAATGTTGTTTGCTAGTACAGTAAATTAGATTTCGATTCTATACAAACGGAACAGATTGAACAGGCTATTTGCAGAAGAAAAAACAAAGAAATAAGTTTCTTCACCAACTGAAATGAATTTAGATACATAGTCAAAATATATGTTCGTATTAGCGCTGTTAAACTCACTAAGAGCAGTCATCCATTACTGTCAAAATAATACATTTTCAAGAAAGGAGTTTCGAAAAGGATCGATTCTTACTTTTAGGGTATTGATGGCCGTCTTTTCTTCAGTCATAGTCATACCCTACACCCACAATGTAAAATCAGTCTACACCGCTTTGCTTTAGTTGAAGTAGAATATATGCGATCCTCTTTATTTGGATATACGATTCTTCCTTCCCAGCAAAAATTTCACAGAATATATAACATGGAGTCAAACAAGAGTTCATTTTAAGGCGTAAAAATGTGTGCTTTTTACGCTTAAAAAATGATTAAGAAACGATTTTTATTGCTGCAAAATGCGACTTTATGAACATCATCGTTATCAGACTCGTTTTCTTTTCCAAAAGAAGTTCTTTTTGAAGGCGTAGAAAATTCACTTTTGAAAGCGTGAAAACGCGTTTTTTTAACCAACCTTCTCTGAGTAAGTAATGTTGTGTATCGTATACCTGTGCACGTGTTTTTATGAATTAGAAGATAGTTGCATTTCTTCTGTTTTGCAAGCATCGAGAAACTTCTATTTGCAATTTTTATCGACATCTCGAAAGACAGAACAAAGAGAAAAAGGTCACTCACACTAATGCCACTATTCTCCTTGTAACGCAGCAGCAAAAAATAACGCTGCACGTGTGCAACATCAAGATGTTGACGTTAGTGAAGCGATTTCTGATGCATAGCGATAGTTGTGTAAATGAAGAGAAACACGATTTTTCTTCTTTTACTATATTACAAGCTGATTTCATTTCAGGTTGTTTTTAAAATCTTTGGATCACTCCTTGTCGGTGGTCGAGCATCTTATATCTCATGCTGTATGTCCAATTGTTCTATGGGTGGATGGGCGCGGGTCTATGTAAAAAATTTGGATTAAGAATCAGATTAAAAATCGATTATAATGGCATTATTATAATATGATTTTAATCAGATTTTTCAGCTTTAGAAGACAGATTTTGTTTGATTTTGATTTATTTTTAATCTATTTCAATAGATTACTATAGTCGTTGAGGTAATCGGTTAAAACGTAAGTAAAATTATCTATGCAAAAGTCAGATTTCATTTACACAACTTTTTAAAAGATTTTCTTTGCTTTTTTGCAAATAGCGACAGATGATATAGGATTAGTTTTACTCGACAACAAGCTTTTCATAACAGAAAACTTGAATTAGTGATTTATCTACATCATATTAATATCATGTATATCTCTTTATTTTTCCTTTCATTATGATGCTTATTAAAATCTATATAAAATAAGGGAAAAATAATCAAAGTTGGTTTTAAATTTTACTATCATCTTGAGTTCTATTATAAGCTCTTCGAATGGCATAATATTGATGTCGTGCAAGTCGATAGAGAATTTCTGCTAATCCCATTATAGACAAAAAACTGACACCGATCCAAAGACCTGTTTGACCACCAACATTAGGCAGAGCATCGACTGCAGTCATTGTTGCTATTTGAGTATAATTCTCAATTAGAGTCGATTCATATACTAATTCGACCGAGAGATAACTCGAGTCAATATGAGAACGCCAATTTGTTGGCCAATCAATAGATAATGGAATTTCAGAATTTTCAAGAAATGTTTTAATATCATCCATTAACCAGGTTGGTGGTGTTTTCCATAGTGAAGGTTTAATGTTGAAATTCGTAACAAAACACTGCTGTGGACAGTATGAACAATATTTCTCAAGCAAATATGACGACGTCAAAAAAACATGAGCCGCTTCCGAGTAACACTTATCAGATGTATTACATAAAGGAGCCATAATCAATTCTTCAATCTCAGGTAGAAAAATCAAGCGACTATTCCATTGTAGAGGATTGATGCAATCACATTGCTGATACCTTCAATTATATGAATTACGTAGTTTAATCAATCAATTATGTATCAAAAAAAGATATTTAGGTAAATACTTGAGTGCATAATTCGTAACAGATATCTTCTGAGTACCCATATTTAGCGCCTTGATAATTATCAAGTATAGCTAGCATCACAGGAGGTATTTTATCATTACATGTCGAATAAGGAGAACGTAAATATGAAATAATCTTTTTGGTATATGTAATTCTATGTTTAAATCCAGTTGCTACTGCCATACCAGCAGAATCAATTAAAGGTAATTGTGGATTATCATGTACCATCGCTATCATTCCGACATCTTTCATAAAACAATAATAAGAATATAAAACTAATCAAAAAGCTGTTAATGCTATCTCTAAGGAATTAAAACGTTAAAAACGATATAGTTTATCTCTATACTTCAACATTCCTTTTGATATTGTGTCACATAAAATGATTGTACTAACCTTCTCTAATATATGGTACATACTGATGACTATGAACATACAAACGTAGATTCAAGCGACCGGATCCACCATATTCATTGCTATAGTGTACATGATTAATATTTTTCAATTTAGCATTATATGTGTAACAAAAACCGTAGGAAGAGGATGTAACCGAAGCAAAGTTGACTGCTGAACAACAACATCCATTAAAGACACATTTCATGAGCATTGCACTGAGTGGAAAAAAAGAATTACTTGAGAGATTCATTTCGATTTATTTTCATTTGAAAAAAGTCACCCATATGTTTAGCTCGAAGCAACGAAATTGAAGTTGTATCATTTGTATTAGTAATGTTAAGCGTAGCTGCATAGTTCGCAAATGATTCAATGAAACAATCATAACGAACGGGTGCAAACTTACAAATGGTAAAGGCTGGAAAATGTTGCGGTCACTCACTAACAATTTTTACTTATGTTTGAGTCGAATATTCAAAATAACTACGAATTTCTTGAATAACAAAGTACAATGTAATTCCAGTGAATATGATAAAATAAATCGACCAGAAAATTCTATTATGTATACTCTGACTACGAGCAATACCTGGAATACCATGAGTGGATGTATTCAAAGCAAATTCTCGAATAATCGATCGACGTCGACCAGCTTGTCGTCGTGTTCTATTCGTAGTACTACCAATTACAAAGATATGATCAATATACATACTATGCACAAAGTTTCAACGAAAATACAATAATATAATTTTTTGAAGATCTACAAGATATAACAGAAAACCTACTGTTTCGTCTTTTTCTAGTTATGATTATTTTCTTCATCTGAATGCTTTTTTTCGACCTTTTCTTTCCTCTCTTTAGAATCTCTTAATTTTTCAAGACAAACTTTTATAATGTTACAGTGCGCATTTGTATAATATTTGTTTTTACATACTTGAAAAGTAATGTTATTGAATATTTGTATGATTAATGAAATCAATCCACTGATACAAAATTTAATAGTAAAATAGTTGTATACAACGTTCTATTTGTCTTACAACTTGATTCGAATAATCTTTTAAAAGAATAAACTAGACACTCTTAGCATTTAGAAAAATGCATTCTTTTATAAACTTTTCAAACGATATTCTATGGAGTTTTTGAAATTTCCAAGGAGATTCAATCGTTTTCAAGGAACGAATGCTATCGGTATTTAATGATACAAATTAATATAAGCTGGACTAGTCAATATTTATCTTATTCTGTTGATTTAAACTACATTAATTAGAGAGTATTCTTCTTGGTTGCTGGTTTTATGTTATCTAAGATTGAGCTCCGATTAGCTTTATTCATAGGAAAATATTTGATTGAAACCACGAAAAGATTAATATGAACATTTTGACAAAATATGATGTAAATATGTATATTTTTCTTCTACTGATCAATTGACATTTATTAATTATTTTTCATCGAAGATTTCCACTGTTCCTAAATGTTACTTGTAATTTAATATTTGTCGATAATTATCGAAGGAAGTGAGAGATCAGAGGAGAGCAAGGAATCAACTACATATGAACGTCTGAATGGTTGTCACGAGTTTTCGTGAAATATTGATGTGTAATAGTCACGAAGAATTCTACACTTGGATCATGTTAAACAGTATCAAAAAATTGTCGAATCGAAGAAGATCCAGAACAATCCAACGACTCACTTTTAACTAAGTCTCAACTCTCCGAAATCTTACGAAAAAAATTCTGTCAAAATCCGGCAAGATCTGATTGAAATTGTTAGGGTTTAATAGAATCCAACAGAGTATGTCTGATCGGAATACGTATTTCTAGCGATGCACCAAGTCTTAGAACATGCTGACAAAAATGATATTGTTTTTCTTATTAAGAATAGAGTTCCTGGGGATAATTTCTATCAACTATGAATATATTTTTTTTGTTCATATTCGAAGCTACAGTCGAAATACACGAGATAGAAAAAAAAACAAATGGTTCGGAAACAGTAGAAAATTCGCAAATTTCAGTTTTTTTTTGATCAATTTGAACTAGTTTTGAGACCTTTGTTTTGCATTAAATAAATCTAAGAATATATACGACAAGAGCATTCAAAACTGAATACAACTGGCAAAATCTCTGCTTACAAAAACACATGTCCAACATTGAGAGTTACCGGACTTCTGGCAATTCAAATCAGTTAGAATTGATCAAAATAGCTTCGAATAGAGCAAAAAAAAGTTGATAATGGTTGATACAAACAATCTACAGGAACTAAATTCTTAATAAGGAAAAAAAAAGTCATTTTTAACATCATATTCTAGAAATTGGTGCATCCCTACGTGTTGCATTTCTTCATCTCATACACTGAATTAATGAGCCTTGATTCAATAAAAAAAACAATGCAATTGAGCAGCTAAGCTATTTGTTTGGAAATTTTTTAACATCAAACAGCCAAGAAAGATAAGGGTCGGACAAGTTCATATTAGAGGAAAAGATAGAAAAAAAAGCGATTTTTGATTGAACGTCATTGATGGAAGTCCACTCGCTTTCCAAATGCAAGTCACTGTGTGTATTGGTCATAACTAACAGTAGTTGATTCAAAAATGTATTATATACATCGAAATTGCTCTTATCAATTGATGTATTTATAGCATAAAACTCTTTTGTGAAATCTGGAAGTTAAACTAGAGAAAATTGATCTTGATAATTATCTCTTTTCAACTGCTTGACTATGTGATTTTATAAATGATGAGTGCAGTGATAGAACTAACACTCTTGTAACATAAATTCTTTCTTATTTGACAGGTGTATTTTTATGTGATTAAAATAAAAGAAGAAACAGCGCTTTCATTAGCATACTGTTAATTAGACAAATACGGAATTTTCGATGTATGTCACTTCACAGCACATCAAAAATACATTTCTCTTATTATTAGCATGTAAACTTAAATGATCAATGAAGAGCGTTCAAATATGCCCATTAGTTATAAGATCATTATTATGTTCTATAGCATTGTCAATAACTATAATACAAAACAAGAATGGTGTGACAATTTAGAAAATAAAGTATGTCAAATTCACTTTCATATATATCTCGCAAACTTCTTTGTCTAATTATTTTTTGCCAGACCACGATTAATATTCCTCTTCTCTATAATATATTTTTATTTTACAAATAAGTTCAAATTCTTAATGAACAACATATGCGTTGTACATGAAAGAAAAATTGCTATTCTTCGTTTACAAAGATTACCTCAGGCAAAATTAGAATGTCATTGCTCAAAGAATATTTTTTATCTTTGAAAATCATAATCTAGATAAAATGAGAAGAACGAATCATTCCTTAACCTCGTTTGATGAATGTTTTTTTTCCTGTGTATAGAAAACGTTAAAAGCATTTATCTAATGAGTGTACTTTTACTCTTAGCCTATTTCAAGTTCTTCTAACAATCAGTTAATAGTCTACTACATTAGTGTATTGAACATTTATTTAAGAATATGTAAATTACATTTCTCGAAAAAAAAACCAACAACGATGCTAACTTCAGATGGAATATTCGCATCATCAGAAAATTTTCATTAGAGACGTATTTAGGCATCTTGAGTAAGTACATAAAAGCTTGCCATTCAAGAAATAACTTATTTCCTCTTTCTATTGGATATATTTTTCATAAATAGTATCAAAATTTGTACAACTAAAATATTTGTCATGCTCTTCGGCGAGAAAACAAAATGCATTTGTCTTAAGTAGACACTCTATAGACGACTTCCACAAGTAGAATAACCGCTGAAAATAAAGAAAAAAATATCTGTGAGGTAAATAGAAAATGAAACAAAAATAAAAGTGTCATTATTAGAAATTTTCTTCGGCACACATCATTATACAAATTATTGCGTTTCTTATGATGAATAAACTGGTTTTGTAACGCTTAATCCTTTTAACACATTTCAAAAAAGAAAATATATACCGATATATATATTATTTTCTTTTTTTTCTACTTCAGTCAAGGTAACTCAAAGAACCAATTTTTCTATTTCGGTATTTTATTCTATACATTCCAGATATGCTCATTAGAGATTATTATTGAAAGAAAAGAAAAAATAAGTAAGGAAAAACAGCAAGATTAATATAGAATGTTCTTCTCCTAAAGACAAGTACAGGGGTTGTCATAATTATAGACCCCCCTCATATGTACATAGAAAAATGTTTATTTTATTACAATAAGGAATGATATTGATCTGCTAGGTGCGCATCTACGTGAGACTAATTACGACTATCTGATGCTCTAGCATCTCTCTTTTATCTCTTGTTCTTTGGAGAAANTCTTCTATGCGTGAATAAGACATTATAAAAACGTCTATCTATGATTTGTGTATACATAGGAGACGAGTAAAACAAATTTTCATCATGAAATTTATATTCAAATAAAATATCTGACGCAGTTTCTATTGCTCTTGCTAATGATATATTGAACAATAAATTTAGTTAAATATTACAGTTTACAAAATGAGTAATTGGATACTTATGAAAGAATGAAAAACGGCATGCTATGACTGTATCATCAATAAAAACTAAACAGATCAATAGATTGATCTAATTTTTTTTCTAGGGTGTGGGTGTGGGTGAAGAAAAGATGACACCCACAGTTAAACCCCCACCCCCACCCAACAGCCACAGCTGCCACCCACATTCACACTCGAAAACTGATCATAGATGCATGGCTAAAACAATTGCTAGAGACACTGACGATGAATATCGCATTCGACTTCAACGGAATTGTGAATGTACTACCAATAGTCGTTCGAAGAAGAGTTATAACAATAAATGCATAATAAATAGTCAAGCAGAAGAAAATCAAATAGAACCACAGACACTTCTTACGAGAGTTGATATCAGATTGAAAAAACGCTTCAAACTGAAAATACATTTCATAGGAATTATAGCAAAGACGAAAAACATCCTGACATGGATGATTGTTTACCCAACAATGATCAAATACAGATCAAATGTGCAAAATTTGAAAAGAAATAAAATCAACCACATCAATGGATGATGAAGTAGACCGAGGTTTGGATAAAGGTCAAACCAGAGGTGGAGACAGTTCGGTTCGATTCATGAATCGAAATGACTCATTTGATTCGGAACTTTTTGAATTGATCTTGGTTTCAGTTAGGTTACCTTCTTAGTAAAATTTATGCAGTTTAGATCGATATAAAGACATTTAGAGTAAGAAGAATAAAAAATGTCGGAAATTGCAACGAAAGTATTTATACAATTCTCTTTTTGCGTCCTTATCGATTCTAAGAAAAAAATATTGAAAATAAGCTAGTTATAGTTATATTTCAGCAAAAACATTAACGTATTTCATTAATAATCCAGTATATCCAGTGCCAGATCTAAGACTTTTATTATACGAGGCGATTCGACGGAGATAGGAACCATCATGATCGTGAAGTGTTTCCAGGTTCTTTATAGGCAGTAAGAGCTCATTTTGAAGCTTTTTCTACTATAAAACAGTGATTTTTTCCTCGATATTGAGAGATCGCTAAAAGCGCCCTCGTAAATCTGTCATCGAATATATGAAATCAATGAGTTGTCTAAATCGGGTTCGAATATAAATGAATCTTTGGTGGCAACAGGTACTTAAAAAATAAATAGAACAAATCTCGAACCAGCAGTGAACTATGTTCAAAGTCAAAGCCAAAGATAAAACTAATTTGAATTATATTTTATAATTCAGATAGAATTTATCTTTGCCTTTGCGTATCTTCGTGGGTAAATTTTTTTTGAAATGACAACTAGTCATTGAATTCAATACAAAATAATTATTTCTTTTTTACTAAATATACGCGGTGTTATTTTATCTCTTTCTTAATGGCAATCGCTCAGAAAAAGACGACGAAATCGAATTACAAATAACATAACTTTAATTATATATAGTAAAAGAAAAGGTGTTTTTAGTTCGATTCAGTTCGACCTTACTCAAATTTCTCTCGGTTGTGATTCGCTTCAAAATTTGAAAATTCTAGCCTGCTCATCTCTGGTTCAAACTAATATAGATGATTTCCTATGAAAATAGGAAAAAAGATATTGATGCGTTTCAGTTAAATGTACAATACCTGAAAAAGACCTCAAAACCTCAGATAGTTTCATAAAAGAGACGCGGTCTATCTTTAGATAGACTCTACTTGTTTTATTGCTCGAATGAAAAAAAAACAACGAGAAGTTTTTAGACTAAAATGCGTTATGTTACCGTACTTGGTGCAGGTCTTTTAGTTGGTATAGCACTTGCTGTGATAATGCCTGAAGGCGCTCATGCTTTATATATGAATGAATTAGGTATGAATAAAAAAGAATAAGTGAATTTATTTATCTCTATCCTAGAAACTACTCATGATAAGATACAATTGAAATATAAAATTGTTCATCGACACCTGAATCATGAAGATAAATTAGATAAAACTAAAGATTTACCTCATGTTCATAAACCTGAAGTTGAAATATCGAAAAAATTAAGTACACATAAACATTCCGCTGCTACTCATGCAGCAATTGGTATGTCAATATTAGAGATGTGCGAGACTGCTCGAAATAATTTTTGCCGGTTTCGAGACTAAAAAAACTTGGTCCCGCACATCTCAAATCAATATATATATATCTATATTATATGTATATTTCTTCAGATTATGTATCTATTGTGATGCTTTATAGTTTGATAAAGACCAATTTTCGTCAAAAAGTGTTTCGACAGTCGAATATTTTATATTAGTTGAGAAATAAGATCTCATATTCTTATAATTTAAAATAAATTCCAATCTGCTATTAATTCGATTGATAAGAAAAGCAAATCTGGATGAAGATACAGTGCACTCTACAAATTCTTACTGCTGTTAGCTCGATAATTCAAATCATTGATGTTGTGTTTGTTAGTTAGATCAGTAACAAATAAACGAAATAGAAACTATAGGAAATGTCGACTTTCTAAAAATTTTTTTTATGGATTCTGTTGTTCAACTAATCTTTCTGGTTTACTTAGAATAAATAGAAACATCTAATGCTTGACCAAGATCATTTTTCGTTTAAGAAAATAACAGGTATTTCTTCAGAGTAGTTTTTACAATGTTAGTCATTGAAAATGATTGATGTAGTCATTTAGTCTTCATCTCTGGGATTGGATTGGGTAATTCATCTTACATATGCTAGCTATTTTCATAGGCTTGATTCAAATACTTGAATATTAGCGTAAACAATTAGCGACATAAGGCGGCTGTGTCGATTTATCTGTGACTTCTAAAAAAAATGTAAGAGGAAACGTTGGCTAGTTTAAAAAATACAAGTGAGAAAAAGCGCAGTATTCATATACGGATGATGGTGAAGTCTCTTCTCTTGGTAGAACTCTGATCTTCTAGCATAGACGTCTCACTTTCATACTTTTGGTAGCACGGACACCGTATTTCGTGACACTAACAAAAGTATATATCTTTCTGAGGATTACCTCCGAAACTGAATTAAGTAGTACCACCGACGAAACAGAAAACATCGAAAATATTGCGGATATAGACAGTGCTTGACATATTAGATATATTGGAGATATTCGACATATAAGTTGTCTATATATTGCTGTGGTACCCATACTAGGTACGATACCCTTTGTGTCTGCGATAGCGTGTATGTCTTTCCGCCGCACCTACGCTAAGAACGATACCCTATGAGTGTGGTCGTATATGCGTATAGTACCTTCTATATCTGCAATATTTCCTATAACTCCTATATCTCTCTGATTCCTATCTCTCCTGTACTGTTACTCAATTGAGTTTCCGATAATACCCGTAGCAGACATCATATGACCAATCTCAAAGACATAAACCTTTTTTGTAAGTAGTTTGTATATTAAAATGAATTTTCTGACCCAGCCCAACTCCTACAAATATGCATACCATTTCTATATATTATTTACTATATTGAAATAAATTTTTTGAATTTATTACTCAAAGTGCTGAATTTAATTTCCTGGAAAGAGAAACTTACCATGTCATGTATCATAGATAAAAAAATCTGTCTTTTGTATCGAGTTATTGAGTCAATCTGAATCATTTAATAAGTTCCTTTTAAACGGATTATGTCATGGTAAGGTCTCTCGATTACAAAAATCCGCAGGTGGTATTGATTCAATTCGAGAATTCTTGCAACGAAAAACGACCTCAACATAATTAATTATGTGTCACTTGTATCGATGTCGATTTAGGAAAGTTCGAGACCATCAAGCATTTTCATAGTCCGTGAAGATTCAACCTCATTTTTTATTATCGGAAATGAAAGCTCGTGTCGAGAAATCTATGAATGCCAATTTTCAGCTTTCTATTATGTATCTACCCAGAGTTATCACGAGTGTACCGAATTGTACTTTTCGATGTAAAAATGTAATTATCGTTTGTTTTGTGATAACTTCAAAAAGTCTAATAGTATTCTCTTGAGTAAGTCTCGATGTATAAGATCGAAAAACATTCTCAAAAGATAAAGTGACAGTTCATCTACAAAACTGTGCATTGTGCTTTTCCTTACACCTCTATTCTGGAACATAGAAATTGTAAACTTATCATTACGTTAACAACTTTCAAAAAAACTTGCTCCTTATTTTTTTGTTTGAATGCTATTTGTATTGCCGAATCCTAACTGATTAAAAAATTTCTCAACACTCTTAAATAGAGTAGACTAAGAGTTACCTAACGAGCATGAAATAATTGATACTCCGTCATGAATACGTATTTTTTTGTAACATCACAAGATCAGCAAGTAATCGCGAAAAATTATTTTTTCCTTCCATTTTCTCACAGTTTTTCGTCCTTTTCTTATCCATTCTCAATCGAATGAAGATCTAATAACAGATTCTTACTCTGCGTCGAAAACTGCACCAGACAGGCCAGTTCGAGATTTTTCTCGTTCAGTATCCTGCGGCCTAATATATCGCCATACTGCAACATCAATTGACTTCGAGCATCAAAATATATCATTCTGTAAAGTTTTTCACGCGCTCTTTATTGATTCATTTGGTTTTCATTTTTAATGACTCTCAAACATTCACGATCGTGACTACCATAAGTTAACAGCTATTTCGTATTGTTTCACTAGAGCAGCAATTTTCTGACAAACAGATAATCATATCTCAAAAGATTTCGGTTCTCTCTGCATAAATACTAGACGTTAATCTCATGCATCGAATGTTAAAAGAATTTGAAAATGTTCTGGTACAAAATATGAATTCTATTATCATAAATTATTGTCTTCGACAAGCTTGTCGTACCCATCTGACTACTAGTAGACCATTCTTAACTTATATTGTTCTCTTCTAAGTTACTACAGCGACTTTTCTTACAACATTTTCCGTGTAACCAATCCAAATTAATTGTGGCCTCTGTTTACAACAAGCCTGCAGCTGACACAACATCTAAAGAGAATAATTTGGAATGTCTTTTCTTTTAACGGCAAAGGAAAGATGATTGACGAATGCTGTCCATCATAATGTTAGTACATATTCTTAGGAAATCTATGAGTGAACTAGTGCTGGCGAACATGATTGATCTGTATGCTAGCACCATTGTACTCATTTTATTACAGGTCTGATGATACATATATGTCAGCGTCCAAACTGAGATTACGTCCAATCTCAGATTGGCCTAGGCGAATGTCGAATCCGAGATTGAACGCGTCCAATCTCGGATTGACGCAATTCTGTTCACTAAAAAATCAATTACTCTTGAGATAGACGTTGGATTGGAACTATTTTTTGAAATTATGTTCGCACAATGCCGTTTTAAGTATTACAAGCATTTAGGAAGAAGCTAAATTTAGATTCAAAAATTTAATAAAAATTTTTCATCAAAGTTGTTGTTTTCTAGAAATTTATTCATAACTCTTAAAATTTTACTAAAATCTACCAAATCACAATTGTTCCAAATACACAGGCATTGTGTGAACATAGTTCAAAAAAAATAATTTGAATCCAACGTCTATCTAAAGAGTAATTGATATTTTAGTGAACAGAATTACGTCAATCCGAGATTGGACGCGTCCAATGTCGGATCCAACATTCGCCTAGGCCAATCTGAGATTGGACGTAATCTCAGTTTGGACGCTGACATATATTTAGTTTTACTGTGCTTGTCGATGAGTTTTTTTTCTGGATATGTTCGAAGAATGTTTTATCAATTAATTGATTCTCAACTAAGTATTGTTCTGCAATAGATATTTGACAAAACAAATCGTTCAAAATGACATCATTTCACAATAAACATAGCATCAATACGGTCAAATCAACAAAGCTCTTGGAATAGAGAATTCTGGAAACATTTTAACATATGTTAGAAGGCGTGCTTTTAAAGTCTTTCATAGGAATACAAGACAGTGTTGATATATTCTGTCATGTCTGCATACCGATAAATTCTGTTTGAATTGAAAATACTTAGTATTGTTGCTCTCTGATTGAAGTTCATATGCAAATCTGCACTTTTTCACACAAACATTCACCACACTAGATGTGTTGAACAATGAAATCATAGGCGTGCTTACAGATCGTTTGGTGGAAGTGATTAAGCGGAATAAAGTCATGAAGATTGATATTGAATGAAGATTGTTTGTTGGACAACTGGATTGACTAGTTCAATGTGTTACTAGCATTTTGTCATGTATTCAGTTTGTAATCGACAATATACCTTCTGATTTCCGATGTAGTATACTTGATAATGATGACATAGCACTAGGTTCATAACTGAAACAATGAAGACATATGAAGGTCTTTTTTTTTTGAATGATGCTTCATCTGTGACTAAAGTGAAATCGCATAGTGTACCTTCCAATTGCTGATGATTATTTCATTTGGATAAACGTGCGTGGAAAGTGGTTCAGGTAATGCAGAATGAAATGAACTTTTTATTTCGAGATATTGTTTATAGTATTAGACGTTATGACTCATGCCTTGTTGGTTTGACTTCGAAACCTAGTTTTTTTTCTTTCAATATGATACTTATTAAAATCAATATAGGTTTTAAACTTTACTATCATCTTTAGTTCTATTATGATTTCTTCGAATAGCATGATATTGGTATCGTGCAAGTCGATAGAGCATTTCTGCTAGTTCCATTAAAGATAGAAAACTGACACCGATCCAAAGACCTGTTTGACCACCAACATTGGACAGAACATCGACTGCAGACATTGTTGCTGTTTGAGTATAATTCTCAATCAGAGTCGATTGATGTACTAATTCGACCGAGAGATAGCTCGAGTCAATATGAGAACGCCAATTTGTTGACCAATCCATAGGCAATGGAATTTCGGAATTTTCAACAAATGTTTTAATATCGTCCAGTAACCATGTTGGCGGTGCTTTCCATAGTGAAGGCTTGATATTGAAGTCCGTGACAAAACATTGCTGTGGACAGTATGAACAATATTTCTCAAGCAAGGGTGACGACGTCAAGAAAACATGAGCTGCTTCCGAGTAACACTTATCAGATGTATTACATAAAGAAGCCATAATCATTTCTTTAGTCTCAGGTAGAAAAATCAAGCGACTATTCCATTGTATGGGATTGATGCAACCACATTGCTGATACCTATAATTGAATGAACTACGTAGTTTAATCAATCAATTACGTATCCAAGAAAGATATTTACGTAAATACTACCGTGCATAATTCATAACAGATATCTTCTGAGTATGCATATTCAGCGTCTTGATAATTATCAAACATAGCTTGCATCATAGGAGGTATTTCATCATTACATGTCGAATAAGGAGAACGTAAATATGAGATAATCTTTTTCGTATATGTAACTCGATGTTTAAATCCAGTTGCTAATGCCATACCAGCAGAATCAATCAAGGGTAATTGGGCATTATCATGCACCATCGCTATCATACCGACACCTTTCATAAAACAATATAAAATTACTCAAAAAGCTGTTAGGACAATCTCTATGAAATCAAAACGTTGAACACAATCTAGCTAAGACGTTATTTTGATATACGATCACACATCGTATATCAACATTTGCCATAGTCTGTATAAGGATCCAAATTTTACCTCTATGCTTCAACATTTCTTTTAGATTATGTTTCACAAAACTACTGTACTGACCTTCTCTAATATACGGTACATACTGGTGACTATGAACATAGAAACGCAGGTTCAGGCGACCGGATCCACCATATTCGTTGCTATAGTGTATGTGATTACTATTTTTCAATTTAGCATTAAATGTATAACAAAAACCGTAGGAAGATGATGAAAATGAAGTAAAGTTTACTGCTGAACAAGGACGTCCATTAAAGACGCATTTCATGAGCATTGCATTGAGTGGAAAAAAGAATTCATTTAGAGATTCATTTCGATTTATTTTCATTTGAAAAAAATCACCCATATATTTAGCTTGAAACAACGAAATTGAAGTTGTATCATTTGTATTAGTAATATTAAATGAAGCTGTATAGTTTGTAAATAATTCAATGAAACGATCATAACGAACGGGTGCAAGATTACAAATGGTAAATGCTGGAAAATGTTGTGGCCATTCACTAACGATATTCACTGATGTTTGAGTCGAATACTCAAAATAACTACGAATTTCTTGAATAACAAAGTATAGTGTAATTCCAGTGAAAATAATGAAAGAAATCGACCAGAAAATTGTATTATGTATACTTTGACTGCGAGCAATACCTGGAATACCATGAGTGGATGTATTCAAACCGAATTCTCGAATAATCGATCGACGTCGACTAACTTGTCGTCGTGTTTTATTCATAGTGGTGCCAATTACAAAGATAGTATCAATATGCATGATATACACAAAGTCTCAACGAAAACTGAAAATCTACAAGACATAACGGAAAATGGATTGTTTTTGTCTTTTTTAGTTATGATTATTTTCTTGAATAAACGATTGTATAAGTTTCATCTAGTAAGAAAGAATGAAATCAGTAATATATTCACATTGGTTTGAGTTTGACAGAAACATTTCAGTAATATGCAATTTTATGATTGTATTTTATATTCAGTTCTGTTTTTTCTCGACCTTTTCTTTTCTCTTTTTGAGAATCTCTTGATTTTTTAAGAGTAATTTTTTATAATGTCATAATTCGCATTTGTATAATGTTTGTTTTCACATACTTGATAAGTAATGTTATTGCATACAATGTTCTATTTGTCTTACAACTTGATTCGANGGCCATTCACTAACGATATTCACTGATGTTTGAGTCGAATACTCAAAATAACTACGAATTTCTTGAATAACAAAGTATAGTGTAATTCCAGTGAAAATAATGAAAGAAATCGACCAGAAAATTGTATTATGTATACTTTGACTGCGAGCAATACCTGGAATACCATGAGCGGATGTATTCAAACCGAATTCTCGAATAATCGATCGACGTCGACTAACTTGTCGTCGTGTTTTATTCATAGTGGTACCAATTACAAAGATAGTATCAATATGCATGATATACACAAAGTCTCAACGAAAACTGAAAATCTACAAGACATAACAGAAAATGGATTGTTTTTGTCTTTTTTAGTTATGATTATTTTCTTGAATAAACGATTGTATAAGTTTCATCTAGTAAGAACGAATGAAATCAGTAATATATTCACATTTGTTTGAGTTTGACAGAAACATTTCAGTAATATGCAATTTTATGATTGTATTTTATATTCAGTTCTGTTTTTTCTCGACCTTTTCTTTTCTCTTTTTAAGAATCTCTTGATTTTTTAAGAGTAATTTTTTATAATGTCATAATTCGCATTTGTATAATATTTGTTTTCACATACTTGATAAGTAATGTTATTGCATACAATGTTCTATTTGTCTTACAACTTGATTCGAATAATCTTTACAATTAAATTAGACCTTCTTAGTATTTAGAAAAATATATTCTTTTAAAAACTTTTCAAATAATATGCTATGAAACTTTTAAAGTTGCAAGGATTCAATCGATTTCAGAGAAAAACAAATGAGATGTGTTGTTTATGATATAAATCAATATAAGATAGATCAGTAAATACTTTTCTTATTCTGTTGATTTAAACTACATTAACTAGATAGTGTTCTTCTGGATTGCCGATTTTGTACTTTCTAAGATTGAGCTCCGCTTAGATTTATTCATAAAAAAATCATTTGATTGAAACCACGAAATGATCAACATGAACATTTGAAAAAATACGATGTAAAAATGTATATTATTCTTCTAATAATCGATTGAGATTTTCATTATTCCTAGTTGTTACTTGTAATTTAATATTTTTAGATGATTATAAAAACAACAGACAAAAAAGTTATTTTAATACTTGTATTAGGAGTCATATATAAAAAACATTCGTCAATATAAGCAAGGAAGAGATCAGAGATGAGCAAAGAATCAAACACATATGAACGCCTGAATGGTTATTTGGAATTTTCGCGAAATTTTGACGTTAAATTGTTTGACTTTTTTTTGTCTGATATGTAATCACCACGAAGAATTTTACACTCGGATCGCGTTAAACACTGTCTAAAAATTGTCGAATCGAAGAAGATCCAGAACAATCTAACGACTCATTATTAACTAACTTTCGACTGTCTGAAATCTTGCGAAAAAAAATTTCAAAATCGGGCAAGATTTGATTGAAATTATTAGGATTTAATAGAATCCAACAGGGTGTGTTTGATGGGAATACGTATCTCTGGATATGAACCAATTCCTAGAACATGACGTAAAAAATGTCATTTGTTTTTCCTTATTAAGAATGTAGTTCCTGTGGATTATTTATATCTGTCATGATCAGTTCTTTTTTGCTCTATTCGAAGCTATAGTCGAAATACATGAAATAGAAAATTGAAGGTTTCGAAATTGATTGAGAATTCACTTTTTTTCGACCAATTCTAATTGGTATTGAGACCTATGTTTTGCATTAGACAAAATCTAAAAATAGATTCGAAAAGGGCGTTCAAAACTGAAAACCACTGACATGAGAAATCGCTAGGCGTCCAGTAATTCTCACTACTAATTAGAAATATTCTAAATTCCGATTAGAAATTCAAGAAATGCATTTTATCTCTGCTTACAAAATCGCATGTTCAGTATTGAGAGTTCTTGCACTTCTAGCAATTCTTTACGCCAGTTGTATTCAGTTTTGCATGCTCTTTCTGAATCTATGTTCTTAGATTTCGTCTAATGCAAAACATAGGTCTCAAAATCAGTTAGAATTGATCGAAATAGCTTCGAATAGAGCAAAAAAAACTGATGATGGTTGACAGAAACAATCTATAGGAACTACATTCTTAATAAGGAAAAACAAATGTCATATTCGACATCATATTCTAGGAATTGGTGCATTCCTACGCAGTTCATTTCTTTGTCTCATACGTTGAGTTAATGAACTTTGGTTCAATACAAAAAGACAGTGTATAGTTAAGCAGCTAAGCTATTTTTCTGAGTAATTTTAACATCAAACATTCAGGGAAAGAGAAGGATTGGACAAGTCCATATAAGGGGAAAGAATAGGAAAAAATGCGATTTTTGACTGAACGTCATTTATGGAAGCTCACTCACTTTCCAAATACAAGATACTGTGTGTATCGGTCATAACTAATAGTATTTGATTCAAATATGAAGTATACATATCGAGATTGCCTATTATCAGTTGATGTGTTCATACGATGAAACTCTTTTGTGAAATTTGGAAGTTAAACTAGAGAAAATCGATCTTGATAATTATCTCTTTTCAATTGCTTGACTATGCGATTTTTATAAATGATACGAGCATCAGTTTGAATGAATAATTATAAGTGCAGTGATAGAACTAACACTTTTTTAACATAAACTTTTTCTTATTTTTTTCTCAATCTTGATTGTTCTGTTTTCATTATTTAGCAAGTATGTTTTTATGTGACTAAAGTAAAAGAAAAAACAGTGTTTTCTTTAACATACTTTTAATTACACAAATGCGGAATTCCAATGTCCGTATAAACTTTAAAAAAAAGACATTTAGATAATAATAAGCATAGTACTGAAGGAAACGAAAATCGACTTATTCCAAATGTCATTTAACGACACATTAAAACTGCACTTCTCTTTTGACTAGTCTATAAACTTGAATGATCAACGAGAAGCATTTACATATGTCTATCAGTTATAAGATCATTATCATGTTCTATAGTATTGCCCATAACTAGAATACAAAACAAATATGGTGTGACAATTTAGAAAACAAAACATGTCAAATTCACTTTCATATATCTCACAATTTTTTTTGTCTAATTATTTCTGTCAGAGAAGGATTAATGTTCGTCTTCTTTATAATATATTTTTATTTTACAAACAAGTTCAAATTCTTAATGAACAACGTGCGCATTTTATATGAAAGAAAAATTGCAATTCTTCGTTTACGAAGATTCTAATATATTTATATAGTCAAAATGGCGATAGATGAACATTGAATCATCTCAGATGAAATTGGAATGTCATTGTTCAAAAAAGAATTTATCTTTGAAAATCATAGTCTAGGCAAAATGAGAAGAACGAGGGATTTCTTAACATTGTCTAAAGAATGTTTTCTTTTCCTGTGTATAGAAAATTTTAAAAGAATATTTCTAATCATAGTAGTTTTGCTCTTGTCTTAGTTCAAGTTCTTTTAAGAATCAATTAGTAGTCTTCTACATTAGTGCAAAACATTTCTTAGAAACTTAAATATTTATCTAAGAATGTGTAAAATACATTTCTCAAAAAAACAAAACGACGACGATGCTAATTTCAAATTGAATATATACATTATCAGAAAATGTTCATAGAGACTCCTTTAGACTCTCTTTTAATATCTAGATCAATCACTCTTCGATATCTTAATTAAGTACATAAAAGCTTCTCATTCAAGAAACAACTTATTTTCTCTTGCTTATAGATATTTTTTTCATTGATAGTTTCAAAGTTTGTACAAATAAAATGTTTGCAACGCTCTTCTGAGAAAAAACAAAATGCACTTTTCTTAAGTAGACACTCCATAGACTTCAAGAAGTAGAATAGCCACCGGAAGTAGAGAAGAAAAAAAAAAATCTTTGAGACAAATAGATAATGAAACAAAATCGAAAGAATTATCATTAGAAATTTTCTTTTGAAACACATCATTATATAATTATCGCGTTTCTTATGATATATAAATTAGTTTAGAAAACTTAAAATTTTTTTTAACAAATTTCAAACTTTTTTTTTATTTCAATTAAAGTAACACGAAGAATAAATTTTAGAAAATATTATTTAAATAACTCAATTTTTCTAAAATGGGTATTTTATTCTATACATTCCAGATATGCTCATTGAAGATTATTATAAAAGTGAAAACAAATTAACAGGTAAGGAAAAACGACTAGATTAACTGAGAATGCTCTTCTGTTAATGACAAGTAAATTACCTTTCTTCTATTATGCTGCCATGCCATCAGTAAGATTGAAACAAACAAGAAACAGTACATTTTGTATTATTTAACATCGTCTAAGGACACATTATATTATTGTTTTTTACAGGAGCAAACAACAAAATAGGCATCAACAATTTTGCAATATCAAAATAAAAATTTTAAGCAAAATAATTATTAAATTTGTTAAATGAAGAAACAAAAAAAGATGATTGGAAAAAATGAAACAAACTCTAAAACATCCGGTAAATATTTTTTTCTTAAATCTTATTAATTTTCGGCAATTATGTTATTTCTTTGTTCTTGGTACCATTTTGGTGTTCAATGCGTGTTATCATCGCCGTTATGAGTTTTCTTGGTATGATCGTACATTTTTCACAGAAAACCAACGTT